ATAAATGACTTATCCAATAATGCTGTAATCAATGATAGCCGGGTCTCCGTCTCTGAAAAGTGAGAATTTGCGACGATCCTGCCAGCCTCATTAAGGACACGAAGTATAGTTTCGATATACTTCGCGAGTAATCCTGTCATTACTTTGGCTAGAGCAGTGAGAGCATGACTAAACTGTTTACTGTTTATTGCATACTCGAGTGAGTGAGTGGGTACAAAATCCGCGGTTTTGAGAGAGGCATATTTTTTGGGAAAAAAATATTTGTCAATAATACCTTTTCTGTGTTTTTGGTGAGGCCAGCTTTTAGAATAGGCTCCCATCGTTGAGATATATCGTCTAAAGTATTGCCGCCCCATTCGGATGATTCTATATGGCAATCTTCCGCGGCAAGCGCTAAGCAGCTCTGGGTCTACCGCAGTGAATACAAACGCGTAGGGATAACTACATGGTCAACTTTGAATCTTGAGACGAAAACAGGATAATTATAATACGAATCGACAATAGAACTTGGCGTTAAGGATTCCTCAAATATTCTGCAGTAACAGTAAACGGAGATCTTATAACGGACCAATCCATCAGTAAAAGCCAGTTTTTTGATCCATAGTCAAATGTAATTTCACCATTTGTTAACTTGACTATAGTTAAAACATTAACAAGTTGTTAACTCGCTATTTCGTTTTTTGATGCCAAATTAAACCATAGCCACATTTAACCACTGGCCAATTTGTTGCCAACATAATGAGTTGTTTTTCGCTATACATTGACATGAGTAATTTTTTTCTGGGTGACAACACTAACGGTTTGAATAAACGGAGCGAACTATATACCATTTTTGACATTAGAATTTTGTTCTAAATATCAAATAGACGAAAGAAATCTATAGATTATCAAACAGTGTGGATGTTTATGGTTGTTCTGTTGTGTGCATTATGTGTTATTTTCAGGAAATATAAGGCAATTTTTTTAATAATGTTAGAAAGCAACAAGTTAGGTTTTTCCAGTTATTTTAAACTTAACTTTTTTATAAAAAGCATATATTTGTTTTTTATTTATCTTATAGAGAAATACGTGAAAAGAATATAGTATCTAGTATCCAAGGTGGGATTGTAATGTTGAAAAATAAATCGAGGACTATGTATTTTATGTACTGTAGGCATATTTTCCTTTTGTATTGTCCATTCGTGGAATTTATAACATTTTTAATAATTGAATAATTTGGCATCTGCCCGTGGAAACAAGAAAAATTATTTCTATATAGTACAGATATACTAAGGATGATCAAGATAAAAATATAACTTATTTTCAATAACCCTATAACCAAAAAATGACGATGTATATTTTCCTATGAAATTGCATCATAAAACGAAATCCCAAAAATAGCTAATGTCCACATCACTATGAAATCATGTAGGTTATAAAAACAACGTAAAAAACAATAACAAGGGGCCAAGTAAATACAACGCAGTTGTACATCTGTTCTTTTAACAATTGGTCATTTACTTAACCTAGCTTCCAGTGATGGTTAAATTTTTTGACAAATGGTTGTAATTCTGACGATTGTTTAGGCTAACTATTAATCAAAAAACATATTTTTCTGATATTTAACCATTTGTCAAAGCTTTTAACAAATGGTTGAGTTAACCACGGATCAAAAAACTGGCCCTAAACGAATCGTATGGTGACTTGAACCTTATATGCACAAAGGTTTTTATACTTTTCTTAGACATCACTTTTAGAGCAGTTTATCGTCACAGCTACCGTGATCGGTGTAGCCGGCAACAAACAATCCCTTTTAGTGTAACAATATTTAGTCATATATCATAACCAGTGGTCGGAATTAGGTAGAGTTATTCATGTACTTACACTGATTTCATACAGCGAAAGAGTAAAATGGATATGCCTCAAATCCCGAGATTAATTTAAAGAGCAGAAATATCCCGTGATTTTTTAAATAAAAAGTTATTTTCTTTTACACAATTTAAACTACTGCACGCACAACGTTGGCAAACTTACATCAATGAAAGAAAGAAATAAAGAAATCCCGGGAAGGTCCACATTAATATCAACATTTCGATACAAGTACATAAATAACTCTACCTAATTCCGACCTCTGATCATAACACAACATACACTCGTTAACATTTAAGTTATTCACAGGTATCCCTTTAAATTTTCGCACACACATCACGTTTTTATGCCATACAGTCAGGGCTGGGCAAAATACATGATTTGCTTTAATTGAAATATAAATTACAAAATACTTTATCGCAAGTAATTAAAATACGAAATACTAAATATATTTAAGTGAGGTATTTGAAATATAAAATACAAAATACTGTATTTAAGCTATTTTTAATTGAAATACAAATTACAAAATACATAATAAGAAATTGTGAATGAGTTATGTTTTTTTTATGCATTCACAATGCTATGTTTAGTATTTGAAAATTCCTAAAAGTATTAGAAAAGCTTTGACACCCTTTCACATAAATCGGTCGCAGATCCTGCTGGTGAATATGTGAAAGGGTGTCGAATTTTTTCTTATTCTTTTAGGAATTTTCAAAACCAGAGTTCCCTTACATAAAAACTAGATTTTTGAATGATTTGTCCGACAAACATCCTCTTGCTGGAGAGTGAATAAAACCGGCTAAGGATAATAATCTTTCTACAATTCCCGATAAGCACAAACTTGTGTTGAATTGTATAAATTCATTTTTTATATTAAGAATTGAAAGCTCTTTGCTATTATCATTAAGGAAGGTGACCAACTCCATTTTAGATGTCTGTGGTTGATCACTGTCTCTGCTGTCAAAAACAATAAAATTATCATCTTCTTTACTCGTGGTGCTACTCCTGCTGCTTTCAGGCATTATTTCATGATTTTTGTAACTTGTCTTTAAGGCATGAATGGCAAGATTTTGAATTGCCTGTCATCTGTTGTCAAAATCAGCGGGTATATCTCAGAATTAATTTGGTTCACTCCATCGCCACCGTTATCCGGCATAGTGGACGACGTACATGGAGAGGGATTTTGATAATTCATCGCGAAAAACTTTAATATTTTATTTAGTATTCTACACAGAACATGAAACGAAGCTTTATTTATTCCGTTACGAACAAGTTACGATACGTTAGAACTTGACTATACCCAGTATAATATTGTTATCTTTGGACTATACTTTGACTTTGACATTGACAAGTCATCTGTCATAGCGGACAGGTGCAGTGTTGCCAACTGTAATATCCGCATTACAATCATTACACTTTCGCGCCTTACACTCACGATCGCTCAATGAAGATTAAATGTATTTTGAAGCCTCAAGTATTTGAAATACTAATTACAAAATACCTCTGCGTCAGGTATTTGAAATACAAATTACAAATTATATTTTAAGGAAGTAATTCAAATAGAAATACCAAATACGTATTTGTATTTTAATTACGTATTTAAATTACAAGTAATTTAAATACTGCCCAACCCTGCATACAGTTCTTCTCTATATTTACAATTATTGCGGGTTCCATACATGTGTCATGTCAGACAAATTAATATTCTGTTATCATATGAATAGTGTTATGACGTATTTTATACCTCTATCTACGTTAATAGACATGTTTAGAAGAATATTATTTTGTCTGCATATGAGTGGCTTGCACGCATGTTGTAAACATAAACAAGCCTTTGAACGTTACCTGACGTTACCCAACCCAACCCATTAACCATAGAGATTGATCAGTAGTTTTTTAATCTAATAATTGACCTATGACAGGGCAATGGGAAAAAATAAGGTGACAGTTCACAATATTAATAATTTCGAAAATTTTACAACGTTTGTACAACAGTTACCAGACAAGGGACCAGATGTTTATTTTTTGTTTACTGGAAAGAAAAAAGAAAACGGTAGAAGTTGGTGTATTTATTGCCAACTAGGTTGATAATTTATTAGTTACTTCAATTTTTATGTTTTACAATCTAAGGTTTTAGAATTATAAAAATGACTTGGTCGTGGCCTGCGGTGTATATGCTTATGGGTTATAGTAGAATAATTTGTGGCGTATCGTAACATCATAGACTTTATTGATTTTTATCAGAGACGTAAATGCAGCAATTTTTTAGTTGTGATGTACAGTTAATCAGCTTTTACAAAACTGTCAAAGTTCACTCCTTTCACCTTAATACATTGAGGGTAGAGTTTAAAAACAACCGCGGATATTAAGTGGGTAATTCACTAGAGGGGCATGCCCGCGGCCAAGTCTGCAGACATGTCTGTCAGACGTCGTTTAGTATAGGGCAGGCATTTCTAGCTAGAGAATTGCCTGCTTAAGACATATTGTGGTAACTTGACGTACTGCTCTATATACTTAAATATTATAATAAATTTATTAATGTACTAGCCATTCGTTTCAAGTTGGGCGCTTCATCGCACCGTACGACCAAGCAGACCCTATGTATGCTGACTCTATTGCGAGTTTTTCTTTTTTTTTTTTAATAATGGCGATGCTCTTGTGGATTTTAGCAGATTGTTTCGCCCAGTTTACTATATTTCAATAGATTTCTTTATTGCGTGTTCCTGTCAGTGCTGCGACTCTGCCGCATAATTAACCTGACCTATTCTGTAAAAATCCAAACCCGAATTCAAATTCACTCCAAAAAGTCCGAATCCACTTCAAAAGGCGGCAATAATCAATCAATTTAATTTTGTATTTTTATACAGAAAATTAAATCGAAAGTATTCTGCACTCAATGAGTGAATTCGAATTCGGGTTTGGATTCTTACAGAATCGCTGGGCTGGTTGATTTCATACAGTAAACGGGAAAAATACCTTGAACCATATATAGGTTACGGTTTTAATTTCTTTAAGACTAGAACTCCAGGCGGGTACATGGACATAACGGTTTATGTCGACAAATCATCCATGTTATTTCTGATCTGGAAAGATTAAATAAAGATATTTTCTAATATTTATTTTGTTTAATGTATTAAATATTTACTTTTCAGCGGAACCCGTGGTTAAGGCATATTTAACTGAACTGAAGAAAGAAGTGATATTTGCATATGTAGACGTAGGAGACCGCGAGTAGTGAGTATATGATTTTTTTTTACATTTTAAATTATCACAACGTGACGCTGTAGCGATGGATGATTTTGGGAATAATATTTGTGGTCAGATTTATAGTTTCTGGCAGCAGACTCGCCAGTATGCTAATTTGTTACTAATAAAATGCATTAAGATTTGCTTTTTAGAAATTAACAATATCTAACAGTGTCATACTTTTGGCTTTGAAATGAATTCTTCTAGTCATCCATGGACCTATCTAGTCCTTTATTTAACAGTCCGTTAAGAAATAGGGACAAATAGCTAAGTTACTTAGTTTCGGAGATAAAGGAGCGTCTTTGTGGCTTATTCTTTTAAATACCATGTCATTAAAGCATGAATTCTTAAAGCATTGAAATTTTAATTCTACTATTTATTTCTAAATCAAAGAGAACAGCGATGCCAGTCTAGCGCTAACGTCTGTGCTCATGTACTGTTTCTAATATCTTGTGCAGTTGGAAGGATCGTGCCTGCCCATTCCGTACCGATAGTCGCACCAAGCTCATGGTTATACCTACACTTATTAAATGGAAAGGAGTTCAGAGGTTAGAAGGTAGTCAGTGCAACAAACGTGAACTTCTACAAATGATGTTTGAGGAGGAAGATTGAAAAGGCAACAAGAAAAAATAATTATCAACGTACCATTTAAAACAGTAATTGAAATGTATATATTTGTAATACAAACGTAATCGTAAGCACCTTGTTTTTGAATAAAAGATTGGTATATCTGATTTGTCTTTTTATTTTTGCCGAAGTAGGTAAATACACGATAAATGTGTTGATAAACCATAATGATATTAGAGTAGATAAGTGTTGGAATGAGTAGTTTAATCAACGGTTACATCCAGTACGCGTAGCATAATATACTCTAGAAACAAAGTCTACACCAAATATCACTTTTCTCGGGTCGAGAGTGAGATATCGTATTGTATCGTATCGACATTTGGGTATAGAATATCCGTTTTCGAGTTCGAAAGTGCCTTTCCCCAATTGCTAATGAAGTTTAATACTTATGTATTAGAGTTGAAAAAAGATATACACTTTTATATGGTCGTAATCTAATGTGCTGCTATGAGTACACATTCAAAACGGAACATGTGTTATGTATAGTCATTTATATTTAGTACATTTTCCACTCACAATCCTTTACTAGAAAATATTCTTAATGAATAATGCTTAAGAATTCACTTTGTCACTAGTATTCTGAAAGTGGTTCGAAATATGTTTCTAAGTCTAATATGTTTGTCGGTTTATATTACCTACTTAAGGCGGAATCACACTTGATTGTTTGGGTTAGTATAGAACGGCTGTCTTCGAGCAATCTCATAAGTTCCTAATTCCCCGAATAGGCATTAGAAATACCAACACGTTTTACATTGAAGAGGTGTAATAAATGCTTTGAGTACCCGAATTACGATTATTGAACGATCAAGTATGATGCGCCACTACTTCTTACTTATCTATCTATATACACTCAGTTGCACAAACATCCATTGTAATGTAACTGTCAATATATATTGAAGCAACATTTCAATATTTTTCAGCACAATAATTAAAGCTTAAAATCGCTTATGCAATTGAGTGATAATCTATTTAAATATTATTATAAATGATACAACACTATCAAGTATTGTACAATTAACAGAATTTCTTATTGCCCTCAATATTAAACATTAATTTGTTTTGTGGGAACCACGTGAGAGGCTTATTAATATTAATCTATATAATCTATTTGCACTAACAAGTATTGTTTTGATATTTGTAACAATTAACTAATTTCCTTACTTTATTAGTAAGACGCGGAAAGCTTTCGATACGTGATTTTATAATTCGTACGAATTAACATGAAAATGCGAATGCGAATTATCAAAAAATGCGTTTCAGCGTGTCTTATTGATTTGTACGAGTAGTTGGTACAGTATATTTTTAATTTTCTATATTTCATGCTTTCAGTCTTAATTCAGTTAGACAAATAAAGCCAAATTTTCAGAGCTTGACGTCCAATTTGCCAATCCAATCGGCGTAGCATATCGAACGTCATTAAATAATTTATCCAGTCTAGGAATTAAAACCAATTTCACAAATAATGCCGTTTTGCATTTTCCATTATGTTTTTAAGTTGTCTGACTTATAAGGTAGAACTCCAAATCGAGGAATAAACTCGAATGTCGTCAACTTATTTGTTTTTATTTAAAAATGATAATTATCGAGGACTTCTAAGTTGTGGCCTCATTCATCACTTATAATATACTAAGTGAGCAAGTTAGCTCGCTAAATATGTAATTTGAATTTATTTAGTAAATATAATGATGACTTCTTGGTTGTGATATGACGTTTCTTTTCTCTTTTCATCAGTTTCTTTAAATCCTATCATATTCACGCTCACTATAAAAATAAAAGCTATATTTTGTTTGAAAAACAACGTTGCTGGTTCATGTCCATATTCAATCACCACTATTGACGGCAGGGGGATTACTACTAAATAAATTTTGTTTATATCGAATACCCGTTAAGCCGTTGGTCCCGGCTGCATTTGCAGTCGTTAATACCCTCCAATCCGCATTGGGCAAGCGTGGAGGGTCATGGCCCATCCTCCTTAACCATCCATAAGGAAGGCCTGAGCCCCTGCAGTGGGGACGTAAAAGGGCTGGTGATGATGGTGGTGATGTGATGATGTCGAATCGAAAACGGATCGAAACCGAACGAAACTACAGTTTTTAATGGTTTTCCTATTCTACAAAGTGACATAAAATACAATTCCCGTTCTATTTTAGCTGGAATTGTATCGTATGTCACTTAGTAGAATAGAAAAACCATTAAAAACTGTAGTTTCGTTCGGTTTCGATCCGTTTTCGATTAGATATAAATAAAATTTATTTAGTAGAATTTGCCCCCAGAGCACTGCTTGCACCCGGGCGTTGTGCTTAAGGGCCTGAATGTATGTTTATATAATTTTGAAGAGGTCGCATCTAAGCGATAACTTCGCCGATTGTGCTGATTGTTTGATTTAGTATACGTAAACTAAATTTTGACTGTATATAACGAACAATGAAAAATTTCCCACTCCACCTACAAAATCAGTTTTCAAAATCTTAATCGTTCTGAACAATGATATTTTTTGTGAATACCATTATAGAGTCGTTATATTGTAGCTGTTTACTGTTCACTACAGATGTTAAGTAAATTTCAAATAAAATCTAAAATAATGATGCGTTCATAAGGCTGTAGTATTGGATGCTGATGCCACGTCTTCTGGTACATCACTGGTGTTGAGGTCTTTTTCAGGTACGGTGATTAAGACGTCATAGTAAATCTTTTTGCTCCTCAGGTAAGCGCTGGAGTTGTCGAAAATTATTGAGTCTGCGAATAAATATTTAAAGATGTAACTAAAGGTGCTTTTTTCCAATTTAAGTAGTACGGGAGGTAGTAAATCTTGCACAGAGAGCCCACCTCACTATTAGGTACATTATGCTAACCTTAGTTACAAAAGGGAACTTTAAAAGCCTGTTCTGTGGTTTAGGCGTGAGAGCTTAACAGATATAGATACGGAATTTCGCATTTATAAATATTGATAAAATAAATCATCAATTTTCAATTCTTGGACAGTTCTTAAATGTCTTACAGATAGTTAAACGAATTCAAAAATATTTAACGAATTTTATTTTCTTTGCTACTACGTACTAAAATACTATGCCATGAAGTTGCCCAGATGAGGCCCGGATCTAGTGTGGGCACTTGCCCCGGGCGCCAAAATCATCATTACGTATATGGGGCAACCCTGAATGCGAAACATGTGCGTTTGTGTAACGACGTTTTTCGCATTTGACTGCGAAACCGTACCGACAAGGACGCAGCTATATCATCGAGCTATAGAGCTAGAGCAAGCAAAGAGGCCGTCCATAAAGTACGTCACACAAAATTCATGATTTTTCTAACCCCCCCCCCCTCCTGTCACCTGTTTGTCTATGCAAATTCTACTTAATAATGTTCTAATGTCACAGTTCGTCGACCCCCCTAAATGTGTGACGTAATTTAGGGATGGCCCCAAAGCACATGCGAATCATTGCCATACAACTGACAAGATTTCGCAATTGTCGCATTCGCGTGCGATTGCGTAGATCCGGCAACATCATACAAAGCCATAGTTACATGTGGCGGGGCCGGTGACGGGCAGCAGGCCGACGTCGGGCGCGGCGTGGTGCACCCTGCGGGGCCCGTGCACGACGCACTCCGCGCCCTCCGCGTCGCGACGGCTCACGCTGAACTTTATGTCGTGGCTGTCCACGCCGAAGTCCCATCTGAATCGCAACACATACTTACTATTATCATTAACTACTAGTATCATTAATCCACGGTTATAGCAATAGTGGCACTATATTTCGAAGTACAATAATTTATAAAGAGGAACTCTATGGTGCAGTGATTAGTTTGGTCTACAATAGGGATGACGACTGGGTAAAAAAAAATGCAATTCTATTTAGTCCGTCTGTCAGATAATAGAAAAATATTAGATACGTATTTTTTTACTTCAATTTAACAAGAAATAGCTTAGATAACAGGCATTAAAGTTGAGGAGTGGGGGCTCGTTCGTCACAGTTTAGTAGAAAACGTACTCTAACGTGACGTCATGCGAAATTTCAATTCAATGTCAATTCAGTATGGGTGGATGTTAATATATTAGTACTGCCGCTAAAATTGTCATTAGTTTGAAGGGTCATTACCCATACAAACTTGACATTCATTAGAGCTCAAAGGTGTCTTTAAACCTTAATGGACGTTTGTGCAACTGACCGTAAGTATACCTATTTATTTTCCTTCAAAAAAGCTTAGTTTTTGACTTAGTTATTAAGTTAAGAAGCTCCTCTGTTTCAGGCGGAAGGCGATAAAGCGTTTAATATTTATTATGGACTGAGCAATCTACAAAAGTATTCATTCAAATAAAATGCAAATAAGTCACTTCTCACTTCAAAACACTCTCCGGGTCAGCGCAAAGCAGGTCGACCGTATGTTTGTCGCCAGTTTTGATTGTGACACGTTTGTACTCCTTTTTGTTCACACTACTCGTGTTTTTGGTGTAATAGCATTTAGGAACTTTACCACCTGGTTTTACCTGAAACAATATATTACTTATTTATTAACACAAATTAAATGAAAAGCTGTTAAGAATACAGGTACATTTATAAAATTTTAAAACACTTACGATAAGACTACATTTTGTGTCCCCGTTCTCGTCGACCATAGTGCCGCCATAGAACACCGGCAGCTGATCTTTGTCGACCATAGCGAGGACCTGCGCCTGCCACTTCTTGCTGTCCGTGCCGTATATCTTGATCTTCGATATCGTGTTTTCGTGCATGAATTTCTTTATCACTGAGAACGCCAGCGCAAATACTTTTGGGGCTGGAACAAAATTATGGTGTAATCAGATACAATTATTAAAACTCTATCTGAGTAAAATTAAAGGGCTCGTTGGCACAACGGTTTTAGGGTGATCAATCTGCTATTACAAAAGCTAAGCAATTTCCCTTTTGATCGATCGTCTGATTGGTGACCAAAACTATGTTATCTCGAGCTCCTCTGTGCTTGGGAATGATGTTAAGTAGTTGTTTCTAAGCGGCGAATATAAGTTTTATGTAGAATTTGTATGGAGATTCGCGATTCGATTCACGATCGCTGTAGATTGTAAACGTTTAAAATAAAACTAAGCACTCTGGCCTACATAACGATCATATGAGGGTTGAGCGACATCTGGCAGAATTTTAGGCAGTATCTCCTGTTAAGTCACCCTATCCTTTTAGTTCGCTAAAAACAGCCTTTTTTACAGCGAGAATGATAGCGTGTTGCCTGTCGCCTCCAGGATTCTGTGGTGTTCTATCCCACACCCGCTATCTTTGTCGCTCTGGCAAAAAGTGGTGAGAGAGAGAAAGGATAGAGTGACAGCAGAAATCGATACCATACTGGCAGATGTAGATCAACCCTTATGGATAAAGACTTTGCTTATAGGCCGCTCATAAAGGGGTATAATTTGACGTGTCGATATATCTGTGCCCCAGTAGAGGGGAAATGAATAGGCTTACTTAGGCTACTATAGGCTATAAGGGATGCCCTTTCTCTTCGCTGTCTTCAGAGTAAAGAATCCTAAAAAACTACTCATTCAGGTGTTTCCAGACTACGTGTGGCATAAGGCAATAGACACATTTATTTATTTATAAAAAATAATTAGGTACCATTCTCAACCTTTTATCAAACTAAACGATAAGATTAATTCAGAAAGTTCAGGCTAAGTTTTAGGCCAGACGCAAAAAAGGTAAAAAGGTACATACATTCATATATTATAGAATAGCTATACAATAAATGAGTGACGGAAAAGTTTCTAGTCATACTTGTAACAAGTTCCGTTTTTTTGTTGCTTCAAAAGTGAGAATCGATGTTGAATTAAATAATCGAAAGTGAATCTACAGTACCGTAACGATTTCATCTCGCTTTTATATTCATTGACTAATGACCAGTGGTCGGAATTAGGTAGAGTTATTCATGTACTTACACTGATTTCATACAGCGAAAGAATAAAGTGGATATGCCTCAAATCCCGAGATTAATTTTAAAGAGCAGAAAAAATCCCGTGATTTTTTAAATAAAAAGTTATTTACTTTTACACAATTTAAACTACTGCATGCACGACGTTGCCAAACTTACATCAATGAAAGAAAGAAATAAAGAAAGAAGAAATAAAGAAATCCCGGGAAGGTCCACATTAATATCATCATTTCGATGCAAGTACATAAATAACTCTACCTAATTCCGACCTCTGGTAATGACTTACAAGACGATTAAGTATTTTTTATAATTTGTCAGACATGTGTATTTCGATTTTACTACTTTTATGGTATGAACTAAAAAAAGGCCAATAAAATAAAATCAAAGTTTTTATTCATACAAAATTTAGCAAAAACAGATTTATCTACTACTTTATTATCTACTACTTTATATCTACTACTTTAATACATTTATTCTTATCATTAATCTAACCATTAAGTGTGTAAACCGTAGGTTACACAAAAACGCATACCTACAAGGAATTTTTTTTGAACACTTAATGACTTTGTGAGGTCATTGGTTAGCAACCATAAAGCCTCGGTAATACAAAGTTCAGAGTAATTATATTAAAGTGTGAATAAAAAACAGGCCATGTGCAAAGCGAACCAGCACACGAGGAATTCCGTACCGGAAACAAGCCAAAAATCACGTTTGTTGTAACCCATATTTGTTATATATCTTTTTAAGATTCGTTGTTATATCTGTAAAATTTCTAAATTTCACCTATCATTGTTCATAAGATTGGTAACAACAGTTTACGGTTAAAGTATGGATTTCCTCAAAATAACGACTGATTCTATTAGGGTACGGAATCCTAAAAATATATTAACCTCGCCAAGACTCTTATATATTTTATCTAAATATACTGATATTATAAAGAGGTGTAATAAACTTAGTTTGTTTGTTTGTAGGGGTCATCTTCACAAATACTGATCAGCCCTGCGATTCTGTAAAAAATGGATTGTATATACGTGTCTCAGCTATTCTATTTCTGTAATTTCGAAACTCATTTCACTTATGCCACGACACGTAATTACCAATGAGAGAATATTTATATAAAAAAAAAATTGTTCTCGAAATCTAACTAGATGTCGCCATGGTACGTTCCTGATTTCTCCATGACAACCTTTCCGGTTTTCTTTCATGTTTAAAAGTAGTTTTCAAAACTCAATAAACAAATCATATTCTATTTGTACTTTTTCGTATTTATATTGATATCTAAGCTTCGAACTCTGCAAATTTCAGTTTTTTAATATGTTAGTTATTAGGAACGGAAATGACTGTCTTTGGTCCATTCGTTTCTTGCAAAAATCAACTTTTGCATTCGTTTTTTTTAATACTTCCTCATTCAAGGTTAAACGGATGCCACTTTTTACCCGACTGCGCGACGCAAAGGAGGGTAATATGTTTATCAGTCTATGTATGTTTGTTTCTATGTTGCGTTCTAGAGATCAACTGCGTAGGCCGATTTTGATGATTCTTACGTCAATCGATTCGTCTTAACCACAATTCACAACAGCGACAACCAGTCGCCATATTATCAAAATGAAAAAGAACATCGATGAACTATATCAAGTGGGGTGTCGTTGAATAGGTATATTAAAATCGTCCTTGGGTTCCTTTTATCGTTTTTCACTTTAAATAATAGTTTAGGATATATATATATATATATATATAACGATTTAAAGTTGTTTAACAAAACAATCGTTCTCGCTAATTTTCTTACTTATTAATTTAGGTTATTATTTAAAGTATAAATGATATACAAACAATAAAAAAACAGTGAAAAAGCATGAAGAATAAATATTTTTGGAAAAAAAAAAACTTTTATTCGTCGCCAAGTCCCCGAGTACAAAAAACTTTACCACCAAGTTCGATGGACGAACTCGATAAATAACTAAAAAGTAGAAAATAAAAATAAATAATTTAAAGAAAAACAAAAAACACGACTACGTAAAAAGGAATTTTAAAAAATACATGAAAAAATGAACTTAAATAAAAACTAAAAAAAAACAACCCCAGTAAGTAATACTAAATAACTCAACAATTGAAATAGTTGAATAATCGATACACACAGAAAACAAATCATAAATTCTAATGCAGAACAGAACGACTCACAGTCGGGGCCCATTCAAATTATTTTTTTAAATTCCTTTTACGCTTTTTGTGTTTCTTTAAATTATTTGAAGTCAAAATAGATTGTACTCAATATAAGCGGAGTAGAATTTATAAACATTATTTTTGTGCTTTTGAAAGTGTAATCATGAACGTGTTAGATCTTGAAAATTACGATGTTTCCTTTTACAGTTTATTGCTTTTTCTAATAGTTTATTATCAATAAAGCTAAAAACATCCAAATTGGCGGATCATATCAATAATTCAATATTTTGAGGATTCAACCGCTCTCGCACTTCAAGTATCTTTGTTATGTATGACCGAAGACGGTACTGTTAAGATCTAACAAACGCTCTGACTTGAAAATACAAAATTAAGCGGAAATCCCGAGTCAACTCATCAGTTATTTATAGTAAATATTACGGACTAACTTCTTTCTTCGTAATACGATAACGTCGACGTCTTTTGCTCTAAGCGCTAACAGACAAGTTACAATATTTAAAATTCATAGCTTATACCTAAAGAGCATTAAATTATTCTCGCTTAAGTTATGCTATGTTATCGAATTTGAATTAATCGTTCTGAATTTAGATATAAACCGGTACTTGACTTACAAAACATGACGTGGGTGACGCAAATGGATTTCCAAAGACATCTTTCTTTCTAGTTTTACGAATATTTAATATGAAATATAAAGTTTAAAATGGATAATCAATCATCAGAGATTAATTTTGTAAAAAATATATATAAATACAAAATTTGATAGCTTAAACTTTAGTTTGACTTGTGACATGTTTATGCATAAGGTTGAATTCTCTAAATTCTGATATGAGTAAGAGGGCCGTGATGTCACGCGCCATTTGCGGTCACGTGATAAGGAGCGTTTTTTTAATAATTAATTTAAGCAATATTATAATATAATAAGCATAAAAGTGTGGTTATCGGTAATATTATATTAAACACCACCATAAAAAAATATATGTCTTTATTTTTCCTTACTATCAGTACCGTATAAGACAGCTTGGGTATGACTGTTTGATTCTGAAGCACACAATACTAAACTCTTTTAACTCTCTCTATAGCAGAACTGATGTAGAGATAGATATGTAATTGAGATTGCCTTACCGTTCACTATTAAACAAGTCTTGAGTATCTCCGGGTAGTTGGCCTCGTAGATCTTTAGCAGTGTGACGACCATCTCGGCGGCAGGCTTCCACGCGTACTGTCGCATCGAGAAGCCTTCCATATCAAATATTACTGTCAACTGAAGTCAAATTATGGGCATTAAGGATTAACAGTAATATAATTGAAATATTTAAAATATTTCAGAGACCTGTGAAGTCATATTTCCCGCTAAAACGCTAACCTCTGCCATGGCGTCAATGTGACTTCACGGGTCTCTGAAACTAACATAAACAAAAACAATAACAAAAATCGTTCTATGCACAGTTACATGTATGTCAATGTCAAAGTCAAATTTGACATCTTCCTTAGAACACTATGACGTCACGCGCTGTTTGCAGACACTTGACAACGAGTATAAAATATGTGTTTTTTTCATAATTAATTTAAATAATATTATAAATAAAATAAGTATGGTAGTGTGTTTATCGGTGATAGTATATTAAATACTACCAGAAAAAAGTAATATGTATTTATTTTCGTTTACTGTCTACACCCGTATTGGATTGTATGCATACAGTCCAGAGACATAAGTCTTCACTTTGCACATGAAATCGTATGAATCTATTTGAATAGTTCTCGCGCATGATCATAGCCAATCAATGTCCCTACAACAGGGATAGGTCTTCTCCTTGTAAAGAAATATAGAGATAAACTTTCCATAGACTCGCATAGTGAGAAATATTGGTTTGAATTATGGGGATATAGCAGTTCTTTGAGATATGTAAGCGTTTCGAGGAAATTATTGAAGACTAGCTTTCGCCAGTGGTTTCGCCCGCGTGGACCCTAGGGAAATGTGAAGTGAGATAAAAAGTATCCTATTATCTAAGACAGTCATATATCAAATTTAATTAAAACCCGTTCAGTTGTTTCGTCGTGATTGACCGACAAACATCCAAACAAATAAATTTTCACATTTATAATATTAATAGGATAATAGGATTGATAGGATGGCGGAGTGCTAAATAGTTCCTTTGAAAGCGAAATCGATTCAGATTGAAATTTTAACTATCTCAAGAAGTATATATGAGCGTTTTAATTACACGAAGCTTTAATTAGAGATTATATGGTAGGCGTGCTTCTAATCGTAAAAATCATGGTCTCCATCACGTAAAAAGTGCGAATGCTATATCGCTAAATCATCTAGTATTGACGCGTTCGTATTTAACTGTTTGTTGTTATATAAAATGACGGTAAGTTTGACTTCTAGCATTAGAATTTAACAGTTCCAGGATCTTATTGGGATACTGAATGTTTTCTAGTCTATGTCACCCGCGTATGATTTAGCTTCACGTAAGTGAAATAATTTTAAAAATCTGATAAGTTGGAGAGCCTATTCAATGTAAAAAAATAAACAATAAAGTCTTACCACTTATTAATATTAGTACAGGTGCATTGATAGGAGGTGTATTATTGTCTATGGGTCAATTTCAACAAGTCCCTTAAAATCTTCATTTCCATGGATTTTTTTTTCTTTAAAGATTTAAAGAAAACGAAAACGTTTTTTTAAAGTTTTCGATAATATATGTATTCTTGCTTAATATCTAACAGATAACTTAAAAACTGAACTAGATAAACTAGTTTCAAAATATCGTGCCACGGCAATGAAATATGCTAGCACGGCAATGAAACAAAAGTCCACGACAATGAAAGAACTGTGTGCCACGGCAATGAAATCAATCAACGGAAATGAAAATCCATATTAAACATGCGTAATTAATATTTTATAAACTTACACTTGATTCACAATGTTTACTATCCTCCTAATATTATTTTTATAGTGAACTAACTACACCTGCTCACAAAATATGATATTATATTTTGCGAACTAAGTACCTATTTGTAATTTATCTGCGTAAAAGGTAAAGGAGTAAAAAGTTAATAGAATAAAAGCAGAATCATTTATTTCAATTCTTCTACAAAAAAATATTAACAAATAGGATTTTCAAAAGATGCAATAGCAATTGCATGAACTACAAACAACTAACATAACACAACATGATTTTTCAATTTGCACATCAATGCAAAGCAAAACGATAACATTTTTAAAGTCTAAAGATAAAATCTAGTCCACCATCTCTCTTCGTTTTTGTTCGTTCCTTTACACGCTGTATACGTGTGCTAGGGTATCTAAAGATCAATATTTATGGTTCACGTGGAAACATTTTTTTGTAGTTGACTGTACAGTAAAACTCATCACCTGTATTACATGTAAAGATGTTTTCTTTGCTTAACCATACCATGGCGATGAAAACAAAAGTCACGGAAATGAAACATCTGACCACGGCAATGAAACTAACTTGTTTTACAAGGCATGGCAATGATTTTTTTTTCATTTCCGTGTCTTTTTTTTCATTACCATAGCAAATTTTGCCCACGGAAACCGCGGAAATGAAAGCATAGCGATGAAAACCAAGGCAAAAATATAAAATAACAAAAAATGTATTAATTATTCGACGTTATAAATATTTCACAAATAAACAGAACAGAAATGGCGAATATCAGAATACTTAATCAAGAGGATAAACTTATTCAAATAGAAGTTATACCTAGACACGTCGATGAAAGAAAAAGTGTCCAGTGATTGAAAAACTGAATACTTACATTTATGGCCCGAAAACGCAGGCACATATGTAAGTCCTTCCAGGCCGGGCACATAGGCGACACTAATATACATACATTTAGCGCACAAAATGGGTAACCGCACGCCGTTAGATAAAAAAAAAACTAAAACAAGCTTAGGCCACGTCGATGAAAGGAAGTTCTGGGACAAATGGATTTTTATTGCCTATTCGTTTTATTGTTTAAATATTTGAATAAATGTATTCCGTAACAATACTTTAACTATTCACGTATGAAATAAAAGTATGATATAATATAAATAACCAATAGATTTTTATCAATCAAGTATAATACAAATCAAGGTGGATTGTGGACAAACACGGGAATGAAATATTTCGAGGTTTAGTAATTTTTAAGTAAATACTCATTAATTCCATTAATGTAATATTTAGTGCTCCACATAATTCACTATTTCACCTAATCAGAAAAAAATATTAGAACGTTATAACTAGGTTTTTTAATACCGATTTCATCGATGCCACGCAATTTTTTGTGTCGGGAAATCCACCCCTATATGTAAATCTGAATAACAACAAGAAGTTGGGAGTTTCCCATGTTTTTACCGCGCAATAATTATATGTTCGCAATGAGTATTCACTGTTCCGTGAGTATTGATGTAACATATCTAATCTATGACTCAACATCTTTTTCTAATTCTTAAATGCATATTTCTGTGGACATAGCTGGTAGGCTGGAGTCTTTATAGATACTACATTTGCGGCGAAAAAATATTTCAACCAAAGGCTATATATTATTTTATAAAGTAAATTTTAACTAAAAACAGGTCTAAAACAAGAATGCTGAATAAGTTATTAATTTCATGCTTCTTCTGTGAACTAGTAAATAATAAGTATATATATTTATAATAATAATTCTTTATTGAGTAACTACATAACGTAACAAATCAATTTGCCCTGTCTCCCAAACGAGGTTGCCCGTATGTCAGGAGTCAGTGCTCTCTAAGTGCATTTTGCCTTATGCAGACTAAAAAATGAAATACCAAATGAACAAGAGAGATAAAATAAATTAATAAGGCTTTTAACATTTACAATTATCATATAACTTAACCATGCAAGAACATAGTGCGTGCGTGCGTGTGTGCGTGTGTGTGTGCGTGCGTGCGTGTGTGTGTGTGTGTGTGTGTGTGTGTGTGTGTGTGTGTGTGTGTGTGTGTGTGTGTGTATTTTATATGTTAAAATGAATATAAGTGAGTCCCTTTATCGGTGGATTACATTGTAAATGTATCTTTTAGCCATTTAAATATTTCTGTTTTAATGATGTAAGGATATGCCGTTTGGATTTTGATAGCCTTAATGAATTTATTATAAAGACGAGGACCTTGGAAATTATAGTGGCGTTTGGCAAAAACAGTCTTAACAATCTTAAAAAATATTACTTTTAAAGCGGCAGGTCCGTGAACGAGTGATTGTTTCCTCGCTGTGGCGAGATAGTTTTCCAGGTGTAGCAGGATCATTCGGATGACGTCACTGCGGGTGAGGGAGTGCAGTAGGCCCCACACGTCCAAGCCCACGAATGGTACAATTATCACTGGAAAATACCGTTTATGTCTTTTGATATTATTTTTATATGATATAATTAAAATATCATCATCATCATCAGCCCTTTTACGTCCCCACTGCAGGGTTTCCGGCCTTCCTTATGGATGGTTAAGGAGGATGGGCCATGATCCTCCACGCTGGCCCAATGCGGATTGGAAGGTATAAACGACTACAAATGCAGCCGGGACAAACGGGTAAACGTGCCTTCCGAAGCACGGAGTAGCTCGAGATAATCATTTTTTGGTCACCCATCCCCTGACCGACCCTTGCGAAAGTTGCTTAACGACAACGATCGCGGGCAGCGGCGCTTATCCACTATGCTACCGAGCTACTCAAATATATCGTTAATTTTCAATATTTATCACGGGTAAGCAGATATACCTAAATGTAACATACCGTAAAAAATAAAGATCTGTAAGAATATATAATATCAGTTCAGACGTTCGGTAACTGACAATATGCGACGCATTTTCCGTCATATATGTGTCGACCCTACTATGTTACGAAATTTGATTATACCACGAAATAAGATAATACCACAGTTTAATATAAGTACTGTATATTATGGCGTATCTCTACCATAGGTATACCTACAATCTATAACTAGTTGCTTTCACGCGACTTCGCTTGCGTAAATTATAAGCTCTACCTTCAGGACCAAACCAATGCAAACAGATAATGAAATCTTTCCAATAAAATACAATATTAGTAAATAGAAACATACACCATTTATTGACATGACACAACTCACGGAGAATTAGAATTTTCCTTGTCACGGATATTAATTAAATGTTTATGAATTAATTTGGAATAAGTTCAAAATAACAAAATTGTAGATAAAAATAACATGTCATAATATGTTGTGGTAATTATTATCAAGTTTAACTTTTATCGTGATTAATCTATGGCATTGGCGATATCTTTTCTTAATGGTGATAATATAATTATAATTAATGACTATTTTCGTTTTTTCTTTTTAAAGCAAGTCGAAAATAGCAATCTTATTTGTATCTCTTAAATTATTTGTTATATTACCAGGTGATCCTTCCTTATCAAAGCCGGTGCTGCCACTAGGGAAGTGCTTCTCCAGCACCTCCGGTGGCTTCCAAGAATGTAGTGTTGTATCTATTTCCCATTTTTCTCGCCATTTCATGGACTGAAATAGTAGATCAAAAACTTAAAAAAACATTTTTGTGGAACAATCTCTAATAAAAACCTTTTTTATTCTCGAGAAACCCATGGTTTGAAAGAAAGATGGCAGTCTAAAATTTAGATTACCAGATGTGCCTGTTTGAATACTTTAATGCAGTAGTATAATAAACAGAGTACTATACCTATATAAATAGGTGAACCACGGGTAAATATTTATTTATTTGATACGTTACCACCAAAAAGAAAAAAAAATACAAATAATATAACAATATAATACAAATATAACAATATAGTATAGTAGGCGGCCTTATCGCTTAACAGCGATCTCTTCTAGGCAACCTATGTACCAAAGATAGATCTTACAAATCAGCAGAATTATAAGGGTATGAATAAAATAGGAAGAGGTGAGTTTGTGGGTAATTGAGATATTGAAAATTGTGAATAGTAAAGGAGACAGCACACCACCTTGAGGAACACCGGCTAACACTGCGTACCACTTTGAAAGAAAATGACCCGAACATATACGTTGCCGGCGCCCTCGTAGATAACTACGAAACTAGTCAGTTATCGTTGGAAAATTAAATTCCAATGCAATATCTTTAAAAAGGCAAGAAGTCCTGACATAAATCAAAACAACAGTGTTGAAAGGATTGCTGAAGTCCAGTAATGTCAACACTGAGCTGTTCCTTCACCATGCCCGTACAAATGTCGTCGGAGATTTTGATAAGAGCAGTAGTCGTGCTGTGACCTGGACGGAATCTGGATTGAAAAGGATTATGGAGAGGAAGAAATCACTCAGCTGTCGATGAATTAGAGTTCTAAAACCTTAGACAGAAAAAGTAAAATAGCGATAGGTCGAAAGTTGGTAACGGCAGTGGGATAAAATCTTTTTTGGGGTATGATCTGCGCGTACTTCCATAACTTGGGAAAAATTGCTGAGGAGATGGATGCATTAAGGACATAAGTGATAATGGGAGTTAAGATGTCGAGTAGAGGGATGATCATACTACGGCTTAAGCCGTCAACACCCACAGCTAAAGAAGCGACTACATGTATATATATGCTTCTCTCAACCTCACAATCGGAAATCTAACTAAAAACAAAAGATTCTTATAAGCAGAAGTAGGCAACCATGAAATTTGTAAAAGACTTCCCTATTTGACTTTTCTGTCAAGAAATGATGAATATCATTGTTTCACGAAGAAATGTCATTGTTTGCGTAAATTGTGAACGGGATTGGTATTTCTCAATTTATAATTCATATATAACCTTAACATATCTTCATTTTAGGTTATAGACAGATAACATTTATTAATTGAGTTGTATTAATACTCGTTAATGCAAAATTCATTACAATAATAAAACTTTTAACTTACATCTCTGAGCATTGTTTCAGCTGCATCAGCGTCCCATTGCCTTGCTAAAAAAAAGACAAATATATATTTAATACTTTATTTTTAATGAAAAATGCTTAAGAATATTTTCCAGTATAGCATTGTGATTGCAAAATTGATGAAATATAATAATTAGAATAAATTTTCATCTTTATCGAAAGTTTAAATATTTGTAAAAAAAATTTTCGGCTGTTTGGGTGGATTGCCTGAACGTTGACGAAAATACGCTCTATAGTAGTGAAAAAGTAACAAGTGCTTGAAAGATTCGTCAGTCCAAAATTCGTCGAAAACGAAATTCTACTAACGGTCGGTTTCAATAACTTACTATATCCGTAACTGGAGATTTGACAGTATATCTGTCACTGTCTTTTACATTGTAAACAACAAAGACAGGTATACTTTAAATCTCCAGTTACGGATATAGTAAGTTATTGAAACCGGCAGTAAGTCGCATACGATACAATTCCAGCTAAAATAGAACTGGAATTGTATCGTATGTCACTTTGTAGAATAGGAAAACCATTAAAAACTGTAGTTCCGTTCGGTTTCGATCCGTTTTCGATTTGATTTAATCAAAATTTATTTAGTAGAATTAGCCTCCTGTTAGGTCCTGGGCAGCTCAGTGATAACGAGTTGGAGTCCCATCTCACAATACCAGGGACAAAGTGGATTTTTAATATTTTTTAGCATAGCATTGTGAATGCAAAATTGCAACAGATTTAATGTGTGATTTCATTCAAGAAAGAGGACATTATCAATTTAATGTTCCACGATACATTCAGGGAGATGTCCTACTGTCTAAATCCATACAACACCACCACCACCAGCCCTTTTATGTCCCCACTGCAGGGGCTCAGGCCTTCCTTATGGATGGTTAAGGAGAATGGGCCATGACCCTCCACGCCGGCCCAATGCGGATTGGAGGGTATTAACGACTGCAAATGCAGCCGGGACCAACGGCTTAACGTGCCTTCCGAAGCACGGAGTAGTTCGAGATAATAATGCATGGTCACCCATCCCATGACCGACCCTAGCAAAAGTTGCTTAACGACTAAGATCGCGGGCCGCGGCGCTTATCCAATACGACACCGAGCTACGTATCTAATCCATACGTATATTGTAAATACAAAAGTTGAATCTTTTACTTATTTAACTAAACCCGATTCCGAAAATCGAAAAATAATATATAATAACAATTAAAACAACGAATACGAGAAACTTCGTCTTTAGGTAACTCAGGATAATTATTAATTAATAAATTATAAATAAATAAATAAATACTTTGTTAATTAGCAATTTCGCACAAAGCTATACTTATAAATATTCTTAATGTTATTATTCTGAGGTTTATAAATTGGCGATTGAATAAAAGTATATTTAACGAGTTAATCCTCGCATAATTTCATTTTTTTTAAATATGGTAATAATACCATAAGATTATTATACCTACAAATAATACGTTACTACCTCAAGTTTAAACGGATGAATAAAGTCTATTTATAGATATGTAGCAATTATAATTTAGCATTTCTATATGAGAATTATGGACTTCATGGTCAAGTGGCAGCCTTGGCCGATTGCCGTAGCTACAACTTCCAAATTGGGTGGCAAAACAAGTTTTGCAACAATGTTGTCCAATTTGGAAAGTAAACATGTATTCTTTTTAATTTCTGAAATTTACATTTAATTCCCATTAATGACAAATATCTAATAGTATGGCACATGTGTATCGGACTGTCTATTTAAAAGAATTCCAAACGAATATAAGAAATATTGTAATTATAGTCTGTAAATGAGTCATTGAAGAAAAATAAACACTTACCTTTAAGCCACCTCAGTAGAAAGTGGTCGTCGTATTCTGGTTTGAGAATATCTTTTACGCTCCTTCGAAACTGCAACAATAGATTTTGGATATCAATATTAAAATTTAAATATCTTTCGCAACATTTTCTCATAAGTCAGTTTAATAGATCACAAATAATATGTATAAAAATCAATGGGTACCTACGTAATTGTTAGATAGGTACGGTTAATAATATAGTTATTAGAATAAAAAATATTAAGAAGTTTGAATATGATTACCTACATTGTAGCTATAAATCGTAACACCAATATAAGCTCCGAAAAGCTTTATTTAAATCTCTTTGCCTAAAACCAAACCAAAACCTTCTTCCTATTGCCTTGGTCGCTAAGCAACAACATTGACGTAACCTTCATAATACTGTCTCCTTACTTTACGACAAGGATCTTTATTTCAAAATATTTTTGAATATCATATTCAACATTAGTATTTTTTACTTAGTAAATAATGACAGAGGGCGACAACATCTCTACGTTTAGCGTAGATGGGGGGCAAGACACAGTGGGTCTACCGAGAATCGTAATGGTCACTGAAGGATCAGATACTTCAGCATCATCGGCGTCTTCCACTTCTTCCTCAGAAGACAACTGGGCCGACCTTATTAAATCAACAGAAATACCTCCCGAGTATTGGCATATTCAGAAGCTAGTGAAATATATGAAGGCAGGTAATCAGACGGCAACGATGGTCGCGTTATCTTGCCTCAAAGATCATGATTTGACAATAGAAGTGAATCAACGAGCTATACAAGAGATTGGCGGCTTGGAATTGCTCGTTAACTTGTTAGAGACTAGAGATTTGTGTTGCATTTTGGGAGGTCTAGCTGTCTTAAAAGATATCACGCCGAACATGGAGATCAGGAAAAAAGTAACAGATTTGGGAGCTATACCTTTACTAGTTGGATTATTATCAGACCCAGCGAGAGACGTACAGATATTATCAGCGGAAACAATTGCTAATTTGGGTCGGATTCGTAAAAGTCGTAAGTTTTGCAGAAAATTCGACGGTATCCCTAAGTTGATTGATTTATTGGATATAAAAGAGAGGTAAGTGTAATTACTTAAGTAGTATGATAGAAGTTTATATTGATATATATAATTGTATCTTTACAACGACACCTATTTGTAATATGTTATAATAATATATTATTGAAACAAAATTTGAATGGAAGTTTGTGACGCTACAAATATTTTAGTATTGCATTGTACGTTTAGATATTTAGTGACTCCACGAGAAGAATTAAATCTCGATGAACTGCAGTTTTTGGATATAGCACGTGCTGGTGCTAAAGCTTTGTGGTCTATGTCATCTTCGCAAAGAAATCGTGAGGCTATGAGGAAGTATGGTATGATCCCTCTAATAGCACGAATGCTTAAAACAATACATTTAGATGTTGCGGTACCGGCAGTGGGTCTTTTACAAATGTGCGCAAATGAAACATCATTTCAATTGGCAATACAAACAGAAAAAATGGTCACGGACCTCATCACACATTTGGCGAATGAAGATAAAGACTTGAAGGTTGGTTGTGAAACATTGTCACTTATTTTATAGAGCGATGCTTTATACAGTTACGTAACATCACCACTTAGAACGGCGATGGTATTATCACGCGAACTGAATATTAAGTTGGAATAATTATTCTCGATTTGGGTTCTTTACTTTTAACTTCCACTGTTTTTATAAATTTAGTATTTTTACAGACATATTGTAGTTTGGCAATTTATAAATGTGCCAGCGACTCTATAACAAGGGATATGATACGTGAAGCTGGTGGATTGGAGTTATTAGTGGAGGCAGCACAAGACAGCACAAACCGGGCGAATAAACCTCTTTTGGCGGCAGTCACGGGGGCTCTCTGGAAGTGTGCCAATAGCGACGCCAGCGTCAAGAAGCTAGATAGCCTTGGCGCTGTGCCTATACTCGTCAGGCTTTTGGATGATGAAAACGATGGGGTACTGACCAATGTAGCTGGAGCTCTGGCAGAATGTGCTAAATATCCACCCAACCGAGACAGAATTAGAGCTGCTGGCGGTATCCCCATGCTCAGTAAGTGTAATAGCCTTGTCTAATTACTTATCATGATTATACATGCTTTTATATGGTCATTATTGTATTATTTATTGCGAAATTTGGCATAAATCCGGTTATTAAAACAGAATTCCATCGTTTATGTATTTACTTTCAGTTCATCATCTCAATAATACTTATAAACCGTTATTGGAAAACGTTCCATTGGTTTTAATGGAATGCGCCAAGGAGCAGAGTTGCATGTTGCAAATCGACGAGTTGGACGGTGTGCGACTTATATGGTCTTTGTTGAAGAATGATTCAAAAAAAGTCCAGACAAACGCGGCTCTAGCGTTGAGTCCTTGTGTTCAAAATGCTGCTGACTCTGGTGAAATGGTCCGCTCATTTGTAGGAGCATTAGAGTTAACAGTTGATCTTTTAGACTCTGATGATCATAATGTCCTCTCGGCCGTATGCGCCGCAATCGCAACAATTGCAAAAGATCACGAGAATTTGGCCGTGATCTCAGACCACGGCGTTGTGGCTAAGCTTTCGAAACTCGGTAAGTAAGTTTGTTAAGATTGTTTTTAATTACTGGATTAAATGTTGATAATTATTTTACGTTCATATTATTTTTCAGTCAGCACCACAGATGACCATCTCCGAGCGAATTTAGGCGTGGCTATAGCTTATTGCTGTGACTGGGCTCAAAATCGTCAGGAGTTTGGTAAACGAGGCGCTATTACTCCGTTGGTGAACTATATGACGTCACGGGACCCAGCCGTCCACAGATCGACGGCCCTCGCTCTATATCACCTCTCGTTCTACTCGATAAATTGCGTTACTATGCATGCGGTAAAGGTGGAAATATTCTAATAAGCTCCCAAAAGTATTTAAAAATAAATTATCTGTTCAATGTAGTTCTAGAACAGATACCGGTAGCAATATACTATTACACAAACTTAAAAGGACTTTAGATTAAAACTTTTTAATTCTGTAAATAACTAAGATAACAAAAGAAAACTGATTAATTTTACTACTGTGGAGTATAATTATATTTCTTCGAATGTCACTATGGAATAACGTTAAATTGAATCCAAATTTAAAAATGATTTCTTTTTTCAGGCAGGGGTAGTTCAATTCCTTCTAGAGACTATTGGCTCCAAAGATCCTATACTCCAGGAAGCGTCTGCTGGGTGTTTATGTAACATACGTAAGCTCGCTTTGGCCACAGAGAAAATCAAACTAAAGCAGTAGATTGTATGGGTGTATTAATGAACAATTATTTATTTTAAACTTTACATTAAAATGTTTGATTATGTCAACATAAATGAGACTTTAATATTATTGCTAAGAAAGCTTGATTTTTGAAAAAGAAACAATATATAGGACACAGACCTTGTTTTTGACTTAGTATATGTATTTAGTATGAAGATCGCCTATATTAGCCATGTTTAAACGCATCGCCGTCAACAGTCCTCAGGGTCAACGCGGTCACCATGATTGAAATAGGCCGGAAATATCATCATTATTTCATATAATATATTATATTATTTCATATAATATATTATATTATATGAAATAATGATGATATTATATTATGGCATATTAGACTAAAACAGACAAGGATAATAATGTAAGCTAGTCGATATTTCATAGATATCAAAGATTATTATAATAGTCAGAAGGTCAGGTACAAGAGTAAAAAGTGTTTACTAATCTTTTAAAATTATAACTTATTCTCCGTCTATTTGTCCGTAAATGTAGTAGATAAGTATTCAAAATCCAGTACCTTCGGTGCGCCCATGGTAAGAAAAATCACGCCGACATCGATAATCTATTGTAGGGACCTAGAAATAATACCAAAAATGTTTTTGCAAAAGTAAAAATGAAACCCTTATATAAATGTCATTAGAATTGCAACAAATATTATTTTAAAAATTCTGGTAAATAGCAAATATCAAAGTACGGAACTTTACGAGTGAGTCGGCAGTTCGATACTCACTTCCTGGTTTTCTGTACCAGTATACTACCTAATGAAAAAGCCTGTGCTTCTTTTTAATGTTTGTAAAAGTATTTATTACCCTTTATTTTATATTTACTTCTTAAATATTTAGAATGTTAAGTAGCATTATGCTGACCTTAAAACAATTTAGCAACAGTTATTCACACGAATCAACAAAATCTTCTGGAAGCGGTTTTTTTTCTATTAATATTTTGCAAAGCATTTAGCACCTTTTAATTTATATTTGAAGTTTTATGGTCGCTTTGTACAATGTTTAAATAGTTACTGGCCTTGTTAACCTTGTCATTCCTTTCTTTTAATCCGAAACTCTATATCTTACACGTAACTCGGTTCTGCCGGACATTATTCACAGTGACAATATTTTACAATCACCGTCGACATAATAGGCATATTCATTATTTTTAGTAATTAATGCCGCCCAAAAATGTATCACAGCCAGTTCTTAATCTTCCAATGCATTATTTTTGTCCGCTCTTTTATAGTTTACCTCAGTCGGACTATTTTGTCCTACAGTTACGTTGCACAGATTACGTAGCCTATGCCATAACTTGCGATGCAACCAGTCATTAACGGACACAGGTTATTCACCTATGGCATCTCCCTTTACATTCATTCATAAATATTTCTTAGATATCAACTTTTTCTGCATCTTTATTTAATTAGTTTCGACACACGTCTTTCTACAGAATGTATCTTATTAGGAAAAACAACGGATGTATCCTTCCTCGTCTTACATTTTAAACTAATTATTGATTCCGTTTAGCTGTGAAAGCGTTAACAGATAGAGTTACTTTCGCTTTATAATATTGTTTTTATTATTTGTTATCATTTGGTATGGATAATGAATGAAAGTATATTTATTGTGAAAGTTATTGGAATTTTACTAAGCTTTCGCTTCCATTCAGTCTTCTATAATAGATACGTATACATAGAACATATATACCTACGTATTAAAGATGTCTTTATTTTGTAAATGCAACATCAGGCAAGGCGTGTGGTCATTAAGAGTCCTATTGCATCTTGAGTGTGTATTTGTTTTAAACTTTCATGGTCATTTACATTCGATTTTTTTATCGACTCTCTTATAATTACAAAATATATGCAATCGTGATAGTGTGGTGACTTGTTGAATAGTTCAGTTAGATATTTAAAGTGCTATTAGCATACTTCGCAGCGGTTTTACTTTTTGTAAATTGATAAAATACCATTAATTAAATACAGATAAAAAATCTTTTATTAAAGCAAAAACTTCAAACGTACCTTTCGGTTTGTAAACTGTGAATTTCTCCTGTCTACGATAATATCATTGAACATAATATATACCAGAATATTAATATTTCATAAAAAATAAAATTTTATAATTTTTGAGCACATTAACATACTATTTCAATTAAAACGATAAATTTTATAGTTATTTTGCACTAAGCTACAGTAAAATTACTACAAAATACGGTGCACCGGCCTTCAAGCTCAGTTTTAACTAGCTTTCCGCCACCGCCCGCCTGTTACCGTATAATACATATAAACCATCCTCTTAAATCATTCTGTATAGGTATCGATGATAACTGCATTTAAATCCGCTGTGAAGTTTAAAAGATCTCAGGGTACAGACAGCCGGAAGCGACTTTGCTTTATAATAGTCTATACATAGGTATAGATGGGTTCTTAAATGCGAATTTATATATCTTTGTAAAGCTCGCATGCGAGATGCGTGAGATTTATATAACGCATATTATAGAGCCTGTATTTGGAAAGTCATTTTTACTATTTGATTAATAATCTAAGTTTGATAGGGTCTCCATGCGGGGTGCCGGTTATTATTGCATTCGGGAAGAACCCGCAAGCGATATAACAAAGGTAAGAGTAGAAGGAACGAGACACCTCGGTGACCAATAGATTAAGATGGTGAAAATTGTGAGGTTTGAAATACTGCTAGATTGGGATAATTGTTTATGTAGATTTTAGAGTCATTACGTTTATTTATAACCAGAGATAGGGAATAAATTAATCCAGATTTAATTATCATATAAATGTCTTCTAGATATGTATCTAGCTTCTGTTGTGGTTTTTTTATACGATCGTTATGTATTCTTCTAAAACTAGTCTCGAATAATACGAGCCTCATCGACCGCAGCGATGGAGGTGGAAGAATCGAATTTATCAATCGTTTAATATGAAACAGATGAACATCACTCGCGTACGCAAATGAATCAAGAATTTTAGATATCTTTATAGTTCTGTAGGTGTTTTGACACGCAGCAGTCACTTTTCAATGACTATTAACTCACAAATAGATTGCATTTTGATGCAATCCATGAGTTTCTTGATCGCTATTGTACATTACAATCTCTTTGCGGTCGCAATATGTTACGTGGATTTTCATAATGGCTACAGTATACCCATTTGTCCATTTATTTCGCATTATCATAGTACCTACAATAATTATAGCCGGAGAATTGGAATGGCACTTGCCTTTCACATTGGTCATCAAATGCAAAAAGTTGTTATTATTCTTACATTGCATTGAACATAAATCTTATCTTAAAATAGATCTTATGTAAGTTCTTAAAGAACTAAAAGTAATGTAACAATTGCTTATTTTCCACTCAAAAAGTTCATGTTGGTGCTGACTAAAGGCATAACTTTCATTTTTGTTCATAATCGTCACTTTCTTACACCATTTGTTGTGACTTTAATACCTCATATGTGTAAAATGAATGTTTAAAAGATAATTGATAAAAAGTGTCTACTGAAAAAAAAATAAAGAAACTAACTCTAAGAAATAACACAATCGACAATTAGAGGATTTTATGCTTATTACTTTGCAAACATTATTTTGATAAAATAAAATGGTATTGCTTAAAAAAAATAAAAATTATTCAATGCACCACTTATGAGGTTTTGGTTGCGAGTATTGTTTCACATTAGAGTTTTTGAAGTAAAATATGCTAAGGAATTGAAATTAAAAATACACAGTTTTCAATAAAATAGCTATTTATTTGTTATATAAATAAATAAAGGAATTGATCAATTCCTTGTAGGTAGGGTGCTTTTTACCCATTAAGTACCTGGATTAAATTGTAAATTATTATAGAAAGGATGGTAATCCTGATCAATTACCATTTTAAGATCCTGCAAATGCTTGAATTTGCTTTCTGTTATTTTTAATGGAGCTGCGTATAATCGGTTTAGTGACACAAAACCATTTCTTTGGTTACTTCTTCGCTGTTGAAGCAAGGACCACTCAGCAAAATGTCCCAACCTGTAAAGTATGGTTCCATCAGGTAAATACTGAAGACCTCTGATATCAACCACTACGGGATCGCCCTTCTTTTTACCAGGCCGAATGGATTTCAGGTTCGATTCCAACTCTTCAAAATTTAAAAAGAAGTCGTAATGAATCGACTTGACATCGTAGGGCTTCTGTGGTCGTGCTTGTCTCATCCGGGTTATGTAATCACTGGGAGCGTATATTGGAGGTTTTATGTATTGTTCAATAGTGGAGTGAACACTATCGACCTCCATCATTGTGTGCCCCTTTTCTAAATAGAGTTGTTCTATAGTTATTTTCTTTCGCTGTGCCAAATCACTCAAGGCACTCGACAAAATTCGGTTCCTGTTTTGATGACCACATCCATCAGAAATAATAATAATACGCTCAACTGAAGTCGGTAAATTTTCACAGTAATCCACCAAACAAGATGTGAATTCATTTGCAGTAACATTACCGTCTGCTTCGTGCCAGAAGTAAATTGAAACCTTTTTAGATGAAACGTCATAAACAGTAAAGTTATGACATTGTAACTTCAACTTGTAGTACAAAGCACTTGCCAATAATTTCGGGGCAAGC